CCTTCCCCGATACTAAACCTAAGCTTCGCAAACCTGACTTAAATTCGATTAAATATTAATATAAATTATGAAACATTGTGGAGCCCCATGTTTGGGGCTCTACTTGTACAAAGGGCTCCACTTTGTTTGTGTATGTCTGAACTACTGGCTCTACTTCTACGTACGTACACACGTACGCATGCACACGCATGCACGCGCACACACACACATGGACGCGCACACACACGCACACACCATTGCTCTTAGATATGCAAATTAGTGCACGATGGTATGTTAATAATATTATAATAAAATGTGCATATTTCTGTTTCTTCTTTGTAAAAGTATTTGTAAATAGTATGCAACAAATTTCACAATTTTATTTTACTACAAGTCATTGAAAATGACACAGTCCTTGTTAAATTTTTTAAAGTTGAAAGTTGTCATATTAAAGCGGAGGGGTTGTCGCGAGCGTGTCCTTGAAACTTGAGTTCCAAGTGGCGTATACAACAGATTGTTTATTTACATCAAAACACGTGTTCCGTGTAGTAGCAATATGGCCAAAAATAAAAACAGCCGTTATTCGGCCATCTTTGATCTGATGTATGTGCCAAATTCGAATGAAAATGGTACATAAATTGTGGAAATATAGTAGTAAGGCCAAAAAGTCAGATGGCTGTCAATCGGCCATCCTTGACCAGATTTTGAAACAAATTGTCATGGACATGCATCCTAACATGTATGTGCCAAATTTGAATGAAAACTGACAGCACGTCCAAGATACTGCATAAAAAAAACAAAAACAAGATGCCTGCCAGTCGGCCATCTTTGATCCAATTGCGAAATAAATCGTCATGGACATGTATCGAACATGTATAATCTATGTACCAAGTCTGAATGACAACTGACAAAGCATGTTCAAAATACAACATTTTCAAAAAACAAGATGGCTGCCAGTCGGCCATTTTGAATCAAATCGCTAAACCACTGCATGTGCATATGTCCCACATAAGGTACTAGGCACATGCAAAGAATGAACGGAATTGGTCCACAGGATTCTAAAATATGACTCTGGACAGACTGACGCACAGACGGACGGACGGACGGACACACGCACGGACGGACGGACGGACACACGGACGGACAGACGGACGGACACACAGACGGACGGATAGACTCAGGAACTCACGAACGAACGGGGACATGTATCCTAACATGTATAATCTATGTACTAAATTTGAATGAAAACTGACAAAGCATGTCCAAAATACAACATTTTAAAACAAGCAGCCTATCGGCTGAGATAGCTCCGCTGTTAGCAATGCACATTTCAATTAAAGAACTGAAGACATCATTAGAAAATGAACAATATGTATAGTATCAAAGCAATCGGACTTGCAGTTTTTAACAAGAAGTCGAAAATATTACTTTCTACCAAAAATGACAAAAATATTCACCAAAATTAGAGAATTGAAGATATCATCACGAAATGAACAAATCTGAGAAAGGTCTACATGTAGTATCTATATATGTAGTATCAAAGCAATTGGACTTGCGGTTTTTAACAAGAAGTCGAAAATATCACTTTTTACCAAAAATGACAAAAATATTCACCAAAATTAGAGAATTGAAGATAACATCACGAAATGAACAAATCTGAGAGAGGTCCACATGTAGTACCTATATATGTAGTATCAAAGCAATTGGACTTGCGGTTTTTAACAAGAAGTCGAAAATATCACTTTTTACCAAAAATGACAAAAATATTCACCAAAATTAGAGAATTAAAGATAACATTACAAAATGAACAAATCTGAGAGAGGTCCACATGTAGTACCTATATATATAATATCAAAGCAATTGCACTTGCGGTTTTTAACAAGAAGTCGAAAATATCACTTTTTACCAAAAATGACAAA